GGGGAGAGAACATTCCAGTGTAGACATCTTGTCACACGCCTTCTACAACTGTGCCATAAAAACCGTGTCAAGTCGGTACCGTGGCTATCACAAAGACCCTGCCTGCTTATTCAGCACTTCACACCCAGTACTAACAGAGTTCCTAAAAAAATATTCAACAGTGATTGAAATATATAGCAAATGCTTCAATAAAAACTTCTGATTACAATAAAGGACAAACTGCCATTAATTCCTCCACAAAATATGTCCCCTTACTTGGAACACGCTTATCCCCTCATTCTTGTCACTTTCTGAAGCAGTTCTAGAAGTTGTCTTTTGTGTCTTTACAAGGTGCTGCCGAGCGTCATCCAATGGAAAAGCAGGCTCGTGGAAACGGTAGTATATCCTCACGCACAGGACTGGGCCCGACGCAACCTCTGGCTCTCCCACAAAGTCAAAGTGATAACGCAAAGTAAACACTTTGAATCTACTCAAGTCATCACGGGAGCCCTGGCAGTGCAACTAAAGACAGGAAAGAGGACTTCTAAAGAGTACCTTTTAAATGTACATAGATTTAAATGTAGAAACCAAACCATTTCTGTAGTAGAAGATATGTTTACGAATTTTGGTTAAGTAAATCACAGTAGAGCAAATACATAAAATATCAACTACAGTGAGGAAGATCTTTAGGTCTTTATATGGATCTATCTTCAAGATGTACTGATAAGTAAAAAATAAAAACCAGAAAGGACGGAGTGCAAAGTATGAGGGGGAAAGATGATAACAGAGTACTTATACTTGCATGAAAAAGGACAGAAAAGGGGCTGGGACAGTGCTTCTTCCAAGGAAGGAAAAAGTGCAGTTACAATGCTCCTATGGAAGGTAGCTTTTCTGTGTATATTGTTTTTTTTTTCTTTTTAATCTTTCAGATTTGAGTAGAGGGAATCAAACCCAGGGATTTATGCATACTAACTAGGCAGGTGCTCTACTACTGAACTGCATTACAAACCCATGTATCTTCCAGATATTTATAAATAAGTATATAATCAAATGTTTTACTATTTGTATTTTATGAATTATACAAATTTTCCAAAAGTTAGCTAGACGTAAGTTTCAGCATTATAGAGAATGAAAAAAATTAAATAATGATTAAAAGGAGACTATGGAGTAGTCAGATTTCATGAGACACTTCACTTTAACAAAACTGCACGATTAGTTTGTATTAGCAACATCAAGTTGGTTTAGAGACAAGTTTAGAGACAAGATTTGACTTTGGTTTTTCTTTTTATTAATGTAATAGAAATTTATTTTATGGTGTAAATAAAACGGCGAATATTCTTAAGAATTTACATTCTTCATATCAATGCCATGATATGTCCACAAGTTTAGAGATATTTAAGGCCTTATCTCAAATTGTGTATAAAACTTCAAATCTAGCAGGGCATGGTCAGGCATGTTGTAATCATCACCATTTGGAAGACTAAATGGCCCAAGTTTAGAGACAAGATTTGACTTTGGTTTTTCTCTTTTATTAATGTAATAGAAATTTATTTTATGGTGTATACATTCACATTCATACACACAGATATGGATGTATATAGCAACTAAAACCAAAACAACATGTTTTCACGAAATTATAAGGTCTTGCTTCATCTAGGGTCGTATATAACCATACCACCTAAATATATATACATATACATATATATATATATACACACACATATATCTATATGAAATTACTGCTACATATTTCAAATACTACCTGAAAAATGGAAACTTATCTTTGTTAACATAAAGATAAAAAAGTTTATAATGTTTGCTATTTGATAGTGAAAACAAATTTAAAATGGATCAGCATAAATTTGTTTCAAATTACCTTCATATTTCACTGAAAAGAGAAATTTGAAAAAGTTATCAAAAAGATAGTTTTGAAGGCTTCAATAAATAAAACACATAATTTGCATAAAATCTTAAAACAATGTTTTGTAATTTTTATAGGACCCAAACTTATAAATCAAATTTGGTATATACCAGTTATTAAAAAAGGAGTAAAGCAAACAGCATATACTATTTTTAGTTGATACATTTTTATTATTATTGATGCAGGGGACAGAAATTCAGGTCCTTGCCCATGTTCACAGATTTCCAACTCCTCCAGAAAAGCAACAACACTTCGCAGTATTAGTCTTTTTTTTTTCTTTTTGAGACAGGGTCTCACAATGGAGTTCAGACTGGCCTTGAGCTCACTTTGTAGCCCTTTCAAAGAGTTACACTAAAGTATTTTGTTATATGTAGTCATTTTCTATTCATTAGTCTTTTCAGTCTCCCATACACTTAAATTACTTATCTTTTAAAAATACAAAATAAACATATACAATGCATACCATTTGAAGACACAGTTTCAGATAATTTTAGTTACTTGATATTAAAATTATTTTCTACAATAAAAATGAAATAGAAAATAAAATGATGTGGGCTGGGGATTTAGCTCAGCGGCAAAAGCGCCTGCCTGGCAAGCGCAAGGTCATGAGTTCGGTTCCCAGTACGGGAGAAAAACCAAAAAAAAAAAAAAAAGAAAAGAAAATGATGAGTACATATGTAGAAAAACTGAAAACAGTAATAAGGCAGTGACATTAACTTCATTTCCTAGAAAGAACAACAGGCAATTGGTTTCCAAGAGGTAGCATTTGAGTGATCCATGCTATCTACAATACAAAATGTCTGTCCTACATACGAACAGGTTCTGAAATATCAACGTGGGACCCAATCCAAAGGCTGAGTTGGAAGTTTCAGTTGTTTAGAGAAACTTGTGTTATCAACTGGATCATCTTCCCAGAGAACAATTCTCAGTTTTTTTCAGTACTTGACACAACTATCATGTTAGAGCAAGGTCACTCAGTTTTCCCACTAACATGTCAAGCACACTGTATATCACCTTAATTCACAAGAATATCCGTACATGGCTGCAAAATTCTGATACGAATCCTGTAACAGAATGAGGACCTGTGGCTTGGAAGTCAGTAGAAGAGATGGACAAAATCATTATATGACACTGAATTCCTACCCTCTTGTTTAATGAAGCTCTGTGTCATTGCTATTTTTTTTTATTACTCGTTATTGTCTTTAATTGTTTGATCAATCATGCATCCTTCTATCTGGTAATCTGAGCAACTGCATCAAAGATAATATATAATATAACAACCACTGTTAATTCCTATCATCTTGCTTTGAAATCCTGTATTGTTTTTGTATTGTTTTGTTTTTGTCTTCATTGTTGTTATTTTGGGTTGTTTTCTCTTTAAAATAAAAAAAGGAAGAAAAAAATCACTATATGAAAGGAGCACGGGTGAAGTATAACAAGCATGGTGAAAAAACAGGCTTGAAAACAGAAGAGAAGGGAGAATAACTCCTGCAGCCAACATCTCTGCAGACAGTAAGATAAGAGCAGAAGCTCAGAAAAGCTCTCCTTCTCTCACTCTCCCTTCACAACTCGGGGAAACAACTGTCCTCTTACGAGCCTCCTATTGTCAACTCATCTTACTGATGATCCTCTTATATTTTTTCAATCATTTGACTTACACTGCATTTAGTATCTGATAGCCTCTACTGTACACTCAGCTGCACAAAGGAAATAAAACCTTATTGAATGCATGGAAGAAAGGATAAACTCATGAATAACACTGGTACCATTTGCTCTGAAGTTCAGGCCTCACACAACTTTCTCTGTTACTTTCATTCTAAATTACTCCGGCTACACTGGGTGCTGTACGGTTAAGATCACCCAGACCCTTTGCCAAAGCAAAGACATCAACTACTGAGGGAAGGCAAGAATAAATCTACCGGAAAATTTTACTTAAAATTCTAAAATAGTTTCTTTTAACTCCAAGTAAAATTTGGTATTTTGGTAGAGACTTACAAAGCCCTAAAAGAGTGTTAGTTTTGTCACTATGAGAGTTGTATGGTTATTCGATATATGTTTACGAATATTATTTTCCTCTGATTTTATCTAATTCATACTTGGTGATATGACAAACAAGCAGTAAGTGCTTGTGTAGATTTAAAAATTGGTGTCTTGTTATGCTATAGTATATAAATTATTTTAAGATGTTCTGTTCAGCAACTAAGCCAATTATTTTAACAAGCAAGCAAAGCTAAGGAGAGGAAATGATTCTACAGTATCAACAGTGAGAATCTCATGTGAAGTTTGATGCTGGGCATCTTGTTTGGCCTTTCTGTAAGCTATTCCTATCTGGAGATTTTAGAAAGGAATTAGCTGATTTTCTGGCAGGTTAAGGAAGCGTCTTGTCTTAAATCACTCTTGTGGGTCAGGGACCCTGTTGACCTTCCTCCAATTAAAGTTCTCATTGCTCTGTACTGTAATTGCCAAATTTCTTAAATAACTTTCCAACCAGACTTTATCATCCTCTGGGAAAGAACCCCACTATTGCCTGACACGTGGTGGGAACTCAATATTGATGGAATAAATCAATGTTTTCCAGCTAAGGACTTCAAGGTAAAACATCACAAGTAAGAAATAACCAAGTTAGTAAGAGAATGGACAACACAAGCTCTAATCATTCAGCATAGATTTAAATATTATGTAAGACAAAGCCCTTCCCAATGATTTTAAACTAATCCATTTTCAAACACAATTGGAACATCCCATCACCCAAATTTCCTGACTAAATTTACAGAGGGATTTCTAAATGTTCTAAACTGTAAATCTCTCTCTCTCTCTTTCCCTCTCTTTCTTTTAACCTGCTTCCATTTAAGAGGATGAAAGCAACTGAAGCCACTAAGTTCTATTTTCTTACACTCCTATCACCTAAAAACAGATTAAGTGACTTTTCTTTTAAAAATACTGACTAATAATAAAATTGTGGAAATAGATTCACGACAGAGAACCAACACTAATTCATAACAAGGCTCTTATAAAATATGATACTTAGTTTTGGTTACTTAATTTGCCTCTGGTTTAATATGAGTATATTTTCAAAAATACATATTGTGATTTTACTCACTTCAAAGTGTCCTCCAGTTTATGAATTTTCTTTTGAGCATCTTCTTTTTCTTTATCAAGTTCACACTGCAAGTCTTGAACCTGCCATGACAAGAATATATGAAATTTACTAGAAGAAAGTAAAGATTACTCAAAAGAGAAACAAAAATAACAAAACTATAATCTCAAGTTGACTTTAATATAAAACTAGATTTAGATAGTTTCAGATAGAAATGTGGTCTACCCATACTCATAAGTGAAATAAATCAAACTCGTATGTGTAAACATCGTCTTATCTCTCTAGCATAAGAAACAAAAGAATCAGTAAGATACAAAATCTGCAATAGATATTGAGAAAGGGAAAGAAGCTGCTCAGAAGGAAAGAACACCTGGGATGGAGGAAAGGAAGGGAAAAGAAAAAAACATATATATACATATATATGTATATATATATATATATATATATATATATATATATATATATACACACACACACAAGATAGCTAACATACCACTAGTTTCTTTTAGTCCATTGAGAAGATAGGTTTGTGTTTATATTGTTTGATTAATTTTGCATGCCTACATCTTGTAATCTGAGCAAATACTTTGAAGACAGCAATATGCAATGCATCAACCATTGTTAATTTCTTATTTAAAAAAAGAAGTGTGGTCTACCATAATCATGTACCATAGAATTATTTCTATATTATATTTCTCATATCAAGTTTCTATTCAAAGCTAATAATTTCTTGAATCAAGCTATATATGGATTCTCTAAAAATAAATGGAGATGTAAGAAATGCAAAAAGGCACCAATTACTTATCACTTAAAAAATTATACTTTAGCCAAAGGAAAGGAACCTGACAAAATTCAATAAAGCACTATAAATAATGTGTCAGTATCCCCTAAGCATGCCGTCTTCTCTTCCACTGCTGGGCATGACTTGTGTATCCATTTACTGAGATCAAGAGGGAATCCCCTCTACCATGACTCCGCTGAATAGATCATCCTACATTTGAGTAGACAGGAAAAAGGAGAAAACCAGCAACCGTGGTTCTAATACATAGTAATTGAGCTCAAGCCTAGGAGAAGGGGGAAGAAGCTCTTAACTTAGTGGATCAAGGATATCCACTAAGAACCTGCTAGCAATCACAGCAGACAAAAAGTGAAACGTAACCAGTGGGGTGAGAGGAATGGCAGCAACAATACGGCTCTATGAACCACATCAAGCACAAGCTCAATGCAAGTAAAAACTACTATTTGTATCATTTTGGATATGGACCTACTTAATTCAAACCCTATTATTTTTTGACCCTCTCCTTTGGTAATTCTCTTGCATTTTTGCCTTGGTGTTTTATTTATTTATTTTTTGTCTTTTCTTCCAGTACCAGGAATCAAACTCACGACCTTGTGCTTGCCAGGCAGGCACTTTGCCGCTGAGCTAAATCCCCAGCCCTCTTGCCTAGGTGTTTTAATAAAGTAAATATATTAATAAAATCAACATGTTTGCAGTACATAATGATTATTCTCGTCGTGGGGAATTGGTACACGTACACAACACTTTTTTTTTTTCATATCTAAAGATTTACTTGGCAAAAATATGAAGTGATATTATCAGGAATGGAGTGAGAGTCCTGATTAGTGAAGTCTAAAGTTTATACACTCTCAAAAAGCTGTGAAATACTACAAACATCACAAAACTTAGAAATAAAGTCACAACATTTTGATTAATAAACCAAGAAATCCTAGTGTGAATTTGCCTTTGTTTTCTATTATCTATCTTTTATTTTGCTCTTTATGTATATTCGGGTTTCTGATGTAAGGAAAACCACGCATATTTAAGCTTATGTGTCTGATTTATTTCACTGAACATTATGGTTTCAAAGTGCATCCATTTTCTTACAAATAATTCAAGTCGATCCTTCTTTATGGCAGAGTAGTACTCCAGTATGTTAAAATGCAACAATTTTCTTTATCTATTTATCTACTGATGAGCATACAGGCCATTTCTAAGATTTAATTCTTGTGAAATGCTGTTACAATCATAGGTCTACTTGTATCACTGTAATATGGTGTCTTTAACTCTTTTAGGACAATACTTAGACGGGGAGTAGCTGGATCAAATGGAATTTATAGTTTCAAAATTCTTGCCTATACCCATGTCTTCAAGAGTTTTATCTACATTGCCTTCCAGAAGGTTAAGTGTTCCTGTTTTAATATTTAGATCTATGGTCCATCTTATTTTCATTTAGTACATAGTGAGAGATCTGGTGCGAGGTTTAATATTCTGCATGTGGATAGCCAGTTTTCACAGCACCATTTTTACCCCAGTCTAAGTTTCTGCCCCCTTGTCAAAGATCAGGTAGCTGAATGTGCCTAGAGGTGTTTCTTTATCCTCTATTCTGTTACACTGATCTTCATGTCTTGTTGGTCAGTTGGTTTTGTTCATACCATGCTGTTTTTATCACTGAAGCTTTGTAGTTTAACTTGAAGTCTTGGATTGTGATTCCCCCTTTGCTTTTGCTCTTCTAGCTCTCCTCTGGTTCCATATGAGTTTTATAATTGTTTCCTCTAGTTTTGTAAGAAACACTAGTGATATTTTGACAGGGATTGCACTAAATCCGTGTGACACTTTTTGAAGTATGGCCATTTTTATGGTATTTATTGGTTTTGCCTATCCAAGAACAGTTGCTATCTTTTCATTTCCTGTTATACTTTTCCATCTCCTTTATCAGAGTACTGTAGGTTTCACTGTGGGGTTCTTTTACTTCTGTGGTTGTTTTCATGACTAAGTATCTGCTTTTCCTTGATGCTGTTGTAAAAGGTACTGTTTCCCTAATTTCTTCCTTGTTGGGTCCAGTATTAGTTTACAGGGACACTGTTGATTTGTTTATTGACCCTGTATCCTGCTACACTACTGAATTTGGTTATTAATTCCAGGAGTCTTTCAGTGGAGTTTTTTGGATCTTCTATGTAGAGGGCCATGTCATCTGAAAATAAAGATAATATGACTTCTTCCTTTCCTATACACGTCTCTTTTATGTCTTTCTCTTGCCTGATTGCTCTGGCTAATGTTTTAAGAAATTTACTGAGCAATACTGGTCCAAGCAAGGACATCCCAGTCTTGTTTCTGATTTAGAGGGAACGATTTCAGCCTCTCTCCATTTAATATAATGTTGACTGTTGGTTTGTCATAAATGGCTTTTATCAGAATGGGATGAAGTTCTTCCATTCCTATTTTTTCAGGGTTTTTATTGGGAATTGATGTTGCATTTTGTCAAAGGCTTTTCCTGTATCAACTGTCCTTGCTTCTGTTTATGTCCTACATATTTTAAATATACACTAAAACACTTCATAAAGAATTTTTCTTATTGGGAAGAGAAAGATCAACCTGCCTTGCAAATCTGTGTCACTATGTTTATTTTATTTTGCATTAGGAAAAAGAAAATTCTGTTGTTCAAAATTGTTCCACATTCAGAACTTACACAGTTAACTATCTTGGTTCCTTTGGATCCCATAGTAAGGATGTTAAATTGGAACATAATCATCACCAAAATAACAGAAAACACCATTCCAACCCAAATATAGTCTTTTTTTTATTTTAAAGAGAGTAGTATATGAGAAACAAACAAACAAAAAATAGAACAGTAGCAGCATACCAGTATCATGAACATAAACAAATCCAAGCAAGAACACTCAAAGTGATACAGGGTCTCAAGACAAAATTATACAAATCAACAGTGGTTGTTAAATTGCATATCGCTATGCTCAACTACATGCCAGATATAGTCTTTTTAATGCATAGGATAAAATTAAAATCACAAAATGAACTCAGAGCCGACCTAATATAAAGATCCTGGAAACATGTTTTTGCACCAGTAAAATCCTTTCTTGAAATAAAATCTTCACTAATTTCTTTGGCTTAGATTTCCAGTACTATGTTGATGAAAAGTGGGCATCCTTGTCTTTTTTCTGGACCTCACAGGAAAATATCTGACCTCTCCTCTACGGAGTAGGATGTTACAAGTTTGTTACACAGAAACTTTACTATGTTAAGGTCCATTCCTTCTACACTTAATCTGTTGACAGTATCATGAAAGGATGCTGAATTCTGTCAAATATTTTTTTGGCATCTGTGAGACTGTAATGTGCTTCTCATCCTTCAGTCCTTTAATGTAATATATCTATTGATTTCCCTAGTTAAGCAAGTCTTGCACCCTAAGGAAGAACTCCTCTTGATCATGGTGTCTGATCCTCTCCTTGATCTGGACACAGAAAATCATTTTCTTTGTACCGCAATTCCAATGTTTTTCAATCTTTTATTTATTTTTATCTGGTAAGGTATAACTCTTACAAATCTTGGTACACAGATCTTCTGAAAATTTTTCTTATATCTTTAATTATTCTTATGTTAGCTTTTCCTAAGCTCTTTTTCAAAAAATCAATTTGTTGCATAATGGATTTTTTATGCCTTAGTGTCTATCATCAGTCCCCAAATGTTTCATTTTCTACCCTTTTCTTTTAAAGTCTTAAAAGATAATTATATTTTTCCTTCATATCACTGATTTAGTTCTCCACAATATCAGTTCTACCCCATTCAGCTCCCCTGTGGATTTTAAATCTAACATGCTTTTAGCTCCAGTATAGTCCTTCTGTACAATCAGACCCATTTTCGCATCATCCCCTTCCTTCCCTATAACTGCTTTCCCTTCATAAACCTCATATCTGCTCATATGAAACAGTGAGTTTCTCGCTATCTCCTTCCGGAACAATACATTTTGAGAAGACACTCCTTTCTCTGAGTCTTCTGCACTGTGCTCTCATTTGTCTGCTCTACAGTAATTCCTGGCAGACCCCATTTTGGCTTTTCTTTCCTTACTTGCCCTTGATCCGTGTTCACTACTCAGATCTGGTGTTTGACAAAGTCTACAGGGAGCATAACCTTGCTTCTACTGTCTGTCTCATAGTGTGGTTTCCTTCTCAGAGCCACAGCTAAAATCCAATTCCCAGATGAGTTTTAACTAACCTATATTTTCGCCTGGCCGTGGCTTCCTCTCTGGTACCCTGAAATGACACGCTGCATGGGGAACTAGTGGGAAACACTATCAGAAGTTGCCGGCATTCTACACATTGGGACTGCACCTCCAATGTACCATGCCACCATGACTTCCCTCTATTTTCTTTTCAGTATTTTTCTGAGAGTCAAAACTCTCTGCATTAAAACATCATTGAGATTTACCCCTTTAGTGTAAAACTTTTTTAAAATATTCGCTTTTAAGAAAACTCTATCTAAAATGGCATGGTGAGTATACGAGAAAGTTCTAGAATCAGACTCCACAGACTTGCATTCTTGCTCTGTCAGTTACTGAACAGTCTATGTCTTAGCTGCCTGCTCTGAAAAATGAGGATTATGACTGCAAGCGTATCAAAGAACTGTGAAACATGAATATACTATCCCATGTAAAGCTCTTAAAATATTGGGAACATCATAAATGCACAATACATGTAAAAAGTTATATACTCTATATACAAACATCTTCTTGCTAAGTCCAGGTCATTCTGAACATCCAGAATCACCATGTGTCACAATACAGTAATTCCCTTGACGGTTTGCCTTTTGAATCCTTACCACTTCTTGATGCTGGTCAGACAGCTGAAAGAAACACTTTGATCTAATTTGCTGCTTCTAGAACTATTCAATCCATTTCTAACGGAAGAATGGAGTGATCTTGGTGGAGGATGAGGGACTGCTCTCTGAGTGAAATATGCATATGTTGATACACACACTTTTCAGCTGGGAAGTTTCTTAAGGCTAGAAGCTGTTTCTCATTTATTTTTATGTCTCTAGCGCCCAGCATACCTGGCCCATACTAGAACAATTCATAAAGGTGGTTCCGAGTTTGGTTTTTTCCTAATAGAAAATGCATGTATTTTATGCTTCAGAGTCTTTTTGGCCTTTTAGCTGTGGGTGATGGATAAACACCAGGTAAGTGAGAAATCGGTGTATACTGATCTCAATAAAAAGACTGTCACTGTTTTTATCAGGATAAAATTATTTATTTTTTACACAAAAGAAAATTAAAGAACAAATATCTTGAAAGAGCTGTTGCCCAACTCCTTTTTTCTTTTATTTGTTTGAGATGGGATCTTACGTTGCCCAATCACAGTAGGGAATAATGCTTAATATGCTAACACTTCTAATTTTTTCCCCAATATATACACTTAATACCAAAAATGAGTTTAAAATACTAATAATAAGAGTTCAAACCAGACAGTTAGGGCTACATAATATATTCTCAAATATGAGAATTTGCTATAAATAATTGATTTAGGAAGCCAGGAGCACATTTATTGAATATTTTCTAAGTATGTTTTATTCTCTTGCATCCCAAGAATTTAAGTAACCAAGAAAAAAGTACCAATTAGAAAGGGACTGTTATACCTGAGGAAACAGACATACTATAGCAGTAATCACGGCATAGTGAAGAGGACAGAACTGGTGTTGGTGCAAAAAGTGGCCAGCTGAACAGCCTTACCACATCTGTTTACTGCTCTAATCGCTGCCTCTCAAAGTGAAAACTATGGGACTGTTGGGTTGCATGATTTCTCTAAATCTTTTCATTGCAGAAATTCCTTTTTTAAACCTCTAAAGAAAATCATGTCAGTAGTAGTTGAAAAATAGTATTCAATAGTATACGTAAAATCATGGAAATTTTAAACATAATTTTAAAATGATATAAGAATGCTAAACCCTGCAATAACTATTTTCGTGGTGTTAAATTCCATCATAATTCATATCTCTTTGTTGGCTGCATCAGAATGATTTTAAAGTAGATCATTCAACTCATCCAATGTAAGAATACGCATGCTTAGCGTCTGTCTCATGAACTTTTTGAGGTAAACAGCAACAGCCTTTTCTCCCTAACGCATATTTGCAAAACAAGCAATAGGTTATTTGTGGGAGGCAGGTGTTTCCTTGCTAGTAAAATCATTTAGTCTAAGCATTTCCTGATTTAACAGATTAGGACACTTCATCAAACAATGGACATTTAGTTTTACTACCTATTATTTGTTTGATGTTCAAAGATCTTAAGAGCAGGCAACAGGCACCAGAGATCAATAAAGACCACTAGATAATATGTGTGTGCTTAAATCAGGGACAGCATCTAATGCGTTACTTTTACCTCAAAGACAAGTTCGAATGGCATGTTTCCATCCTGCTGCTTTCATACTGGCACGAGGAAATAATGTCAATTCAGATGGTATTTCCTCAGCCCTGAACAGACATTCAGAACGAAGTTTTATACCACGAGTTACTGAACCTGCACACCTGTAACACTGCCTCGAACAAAAGCCTTATGCATCCCATTTAACTATCCAGTTACACAGTCTAGGGTTATATGAAATTTATGTTAGCGCTTTGAGCAGTCAAAAAAGATATTCCCTGAGGGAATATCTTCAAGGCTTGAGATCACACAAGTTTAATAAAGAAAGAACAGATGTCAATTTAAAAAAGGGAGATTATGGAATTAATTGTAAAACACTGACATGCTGAGCAACGTTTTCTTCCAAAATAAATAATGTTAAAAAACATATGCAATGTGAGCAAATATGCTATTTTTCTTTAAAAGAGTGCCATTATTTTTAAACAAGTCTTATTTATAGTGAAAACAATTAGCATGCTTTCCCTAAGACAGTTGTAAAAAGGTAGGTCAACTGATACCTCCTGACAAGACAACAGCTGTAGTTATGATGTCCACTAAAGAAGATCTAAGTTTGTTCCCTGAAGCAAACTAGAACAGGAATGGCTGGAAGGCTCTAGATAAAAATGAACTGAGGTCTCATATTCCCTTCCTTGTGTGCATTTATTAGGGAGAGGGACTGACAGCAGAAACCAGAGTTTACTAACTGGTCAAACAGCCAAGAAAAGATGCTGGCTGGTAGAGAAAGACTGTCTCTTCGCTTGTCTCTGTATCTAACAATGATCAGCAGGACTTAAGTTCAGGAGAGGAAGATATTCTTTAACGATCAGCAAGGGCATGCTTTTCTCCATGACACCAGCTCATCTGTTTATCAGGTACGCAGACACCACCTCTCAGGAACAGATTGACCAGAGTGTAAAAGAGTAGGAGGCAGGCAGAAAGATGCTCTGTAATGGAAAAGATGCCACCAATCTGCTCAAAGAACGAACAGTGAACTAGTAAGGACACCCAGAAGATCCACACACCTTATACCATGGCAAGCAGGGTTTATGATAATGCATGCTCTTCTTTTAGTAAGTAAAATATTTATGAAGCTGCATGGCTCAGCAGAAACTGATAAACTTGTTATTTCAATAAAAGCAATATTTCCTTTTCCTAGTTAGATACCATTTTGTAAATATCAAATTAGTTAAGACCTTGCTGTAGTAAAACAGCAGCAGGAACAAAACTGATCATAATTTTAAAAGGCACATATACAGGTCAATATGTGTCCAGGGACTGACTTACTTTTCTAAATAACAGAAACATTTTTTTATCCTATACATTGCTCCTGAAGGGTACACTCTGCTCAATTCATCCCTCAACTTCACTATAAACCTAGTATGACATCTTGCCCATTGTGAGCAGTTAATGGATATCTACTGAGGAAGTAAATGGATAGATAATATAATATAGGGAGTTTTGAGAATTTTGGGATATAATCCATGTTTACCTTTAATTTATATGTATTTTAGATAAGAAACTATTTACTCCATTCCAGTAATTCTGCACTTTAGTGCTTAAGGTGCTAATATCCCCCTAGTTATTGTTGACGACAGGGATACTACCATAGTCGTTAGACATACATGCACTCTTCTAAATGACATGAAGCAATTATCAATTTTTAAGTAGTAGCCAATTCTTTTATTGCCTTACGTTCTTCAGTGAAATATTCAATGTTCTCACTGCACATATAATACAAGAGAATACAAGATAAGTTCCAATGTTTCACTTTTTAAACCGGTAGAAAGAAAATATAATTTCAATCATTTGTTATGAGAGGCTAAGGTATACTCTTCACACTTTAAATACAACACACAAATAGTATTTTGATATAATTAGCAACATAACGAAAGACACTATTTTACAGATAACCAGTGAAGTAGGAAAATTTGATTATTGGTTGACTGAAATCAACTTAAAAACAAATTATTCTTTAAGGGTTAGAATGTATGACTTTATCAATATCAGCCTCTATTAAAGGCCTCCTTTGCTATTTTAAATGTTTTATATCTTCCCACAAAACATATTACCTTTTTCTCATAGGTGCATTTTAAGTGATTTTTCTCCATTTGAAACTTATTTTCTTCATCCTATGAATGATAAATGATTATTTTTAATATATTTTAAGGAGCTGCTAGGGTCAATAAAATCAGTAACACAATGAAATGAATGAATCTACTTGATGGCAAAGCTTACTTCAGAGTTTTTAATTGATTAGCAGCTTTGTATTACAGTAAAATCTTAGTTCTCTGAAGATCTTACTGTTCTCAAAAGTACCTACTTCACATAGTAAGAGGATCTTTCTGATCCTTAGGATTAAGAGATTAAGAATGACCGTAGGGTCAATATGGAAATGATAAATTTGAAGTTGTAATAATAGCCCTTAGTACTTTGTGACCGTAAGAGAAAATAAGGTATCAAGAGAAAGTGGAGAGAGGGTGCAGAGATGATGAAGGCTAGTTGGTAACTTAAATGAGAGGCACTGCTGTAAAATAATGTATTCTGATAAGGTTTATATTTTAAATGACTCTTTAAAGGAGACCATTCAAAGTAACATTATTATACTTGAAAATTATAATAAAAATTAGAAATGACTTCCTTGAGAATGGTTATTTCTGAGGTTTTATTGTTTCTTTTTATTGACTCACTTATAAACACAATCAAGAAAAGGAAAGGTGAGTTTAGGCCATTATTCCAGGTAAAATATAAGGCCTACCTTTAATAGCTGATTTCTTTGAAGTTCTGATTCCTGTAACTGTTCTTTTAATTGACAGATATTCTGTTCTAATTCTTCAATTGTACCAGATGCCTGAAAGGATTTTAAGAAGAAGTAGAATGTTGATTTTTGTATCCCGTAACTTCTGGTTGAAAAAAAAATACCTCTTTTCCCCTAAAAGTTCAATTAGAATTAAAATTGTCTATATATCTTAATGACAAATGTTTTAAAAGATAATATAAAATTAACCTTCAAAGTAAAAATATAAGTCAAATCCTGCGTGGTAGTTAATGTTATCAAAATATAACACTGATATCAAATAATAGAGGAAACTTTTAAAATTTTAACTTTGAAACTAAAACAGAACCAAGATTTCAAAATAATAATAACATACATAGAAACTATAAAAGATGTTCTTAAAATAAAATTCTCAGAATTTAGCTTCTTCCTTCAAAAATTTTGGTACTACTAAAAATGATTAACTTATAGCAGTATTTGGTTTTTAAATACTTAAGCTGTGCTATCAGATATTTAACATTTTAAATACCAACAAAAATTCTTGAAGTTTCAGTTATTCTAAAAATAAAGCAGAGACTAATTTCAAATGTCAAATAATTAGCACAAGTTTGTATATATATATATATATATATATACCAACATGTATAATACCTTAGAAGATGAAAGAGCATTTTCTTGTTTCAGAAGAGCTACATCAGCATCATATTTGGTTTGTAATAGTTTCATCTTTTGCTCATAATCATTTATAAGATTATCTTTCTCTTTATGCAGTGTGTTTCGCCTAAAAGCAATAACAAAAAACTCACATTATTTTTAGAACCAATCTCTAAAATAGAATTTTTAATCAAATAATTACAAATATATTATCTTTCAATATATAAAATAAGTATCCACATTTTGATTAAACGTTAATGCTAAACACTATGCCTTCTATGGCTAATGTGGACTTTGAAAAGTAAACAAGCAGTGCTGTTTAGGTAAGAAACTTCCCAACACTAGATGTATGAGGTATACTAAATTTTGTAGGTAATTTATTATAGAGTTAGTATCACTATACTGCAGCTACACCTTATAGATATCTGATTTCAGACAATACCTTGCCTTCACCTCTTGTAATTCACTACACGTTATCTGGTAACATCTTTCAAGTTCTGCTTTCTCTTGAATTAATTTCTGCCTCTGTAAATTACTGTTCTCTGCTTCTCCAGTAAGCTGGTGGACACGGGCCTCCAGTTCTTTGACCACCTGATTCTAAAAAATAGGTCGTGGTTAGGAAAGCCTGTAATTGCTTTGTTAACAATTTTGTACCAAGGAGCCTGAGAAAAATATATTGCCTATTAGAATGAAAACAAAAGCATCATAAACCATAGCAGAAAAAATTAAATCAACCTCTAAATTAACCAAATCTTTTCAAAAATTGTTTTATACCATAAAATTAATAACAGCATAGTTAGATACATTTATCCATCCATTCATTTAATGAATATTCACTGAGTCTGGCAATACTCCAGGATCTAGGGACATGGCAATACGTAAGTCAAAGTCCCTGTCTTCAGGAAGGTTACATTCTCTTTGTGTACTTTATTAATTCAGATTTGCTAGGTGATTACTGAAAGTGATGTAATAATATTACTGAAAGCGATGTAATGAAATTTATAATCTTCAATTTTAACACAAGGATATTACATAACCAATATACTTGCTTATTACATAACTATATAGAAATATTTTAGCATGGTTACAGGGCTAGTGCACAAATTTCCATTCATTTCATTCTTAAATGTCTTTTCCATTAGAAACATTCCTCTATTTTTCCACACTGTTCATTTCTAGGACTAATCATTTCTCTACTATTTGATATTTAGGTTATTTTTAATTTTTCACCTTGGTAGAATGGCAAATTAAAACCTGGATAAAAGTGTCTATAAGCTTACAGCTAGGGGAAGAGAGCATTAACTGAAGGGACAACTGATTTTCATTTTAACCAGTAAACATTTGACAAGTATGAGTAATTCAGAAAGGCTGGTATGTATGTTCTCTGTATAAGATAAACATGTAAAATAAAATTTAAACATTTAATAGTATTACAACCCCAACATTACTTCTCCTTTTCAACCTTTTTTCATTAGTACATCAAATAGGTATATTTGATAATGACAAATGTTTTAAAAGATAATATAAAATTAACCTTCAAAGTAAAAATGTAAGTTACATTTCCAAATCTGCAATGTGTAAATTCTTATATTTACGTTAAAAGCACTGTATGAACTTTTAAAAATAGATAAAATTCCTTGGTTTAAAGTCAGACATGTTTCAAATGCTCATATTCTTTCTTCATGTATTCTATTCACTTTGCCACTTTATCAAAAAGGTCTTTTGCTTTAGGAGTTCCTTTCAGAGGTTAGTGTCAATTTTCTACTACATATTCTAAGCCCCCTTTGTTTCCTACATATTAATTGGCTATAAGAAACAAAGGAAAGAATGTATCTTTTGCTTTCCAATTTTAAGTGGTGAGATCACTCTATCCCTTTAGAAATTACCAAAAAGAGGCAAGATGCACAAGATATAGAAATGCAAACTTCTTAATAAGCCATATGAGAGGAGATTCTATTCCTAGCTGTGAAGGAGTAGTTCATAGCAGGTCATACTCCCATTAAGAACGACTAAAAAACTCATAAAGATACACACAAAAAGTCAGTTGGAAGGTACTACCGGACACCAGGCCACCCTGAATGTAAGGAGATTCGAGGAAGAAACCAGTTTTGGAGGATGAGGGCAGAGCCATCCGTGCAGAGCCCGGCCAGGCAACCATGACCGGAGCAGCAAAGATCACTGGGAAAATGCAGCAAGAGAGGGGTTTGTATTTTAAAGTAGAGACACAGTACAGAGATACAGTACAAGAAATCCAAAGTTGGGCTAAAAATATCCTCCTGCTTTAATGTATTTTTAAAAGCCTACTTCTGTTATTCTTTACCTTAGTGGAAAATAACATTATTAGAAAATATTAGAAAGTAATCTAATTGCTAAAAAAAAAAAAAAAAAAAAAAAACCCAAGGCAAGAGGAAATGAACTAATACCAAGAAATAAATCTACAGACTTTGACAAACAAAAAAGCGTTTTTATCAGCCAGAAAAAAATAGACAGTTCTCTTTCTATAATATGAATAATTGAACACAGCAAAGATGTGAGAAGCTGCTCAGATAAAAGTATAAACTATTTTTAGGAGAGAAAAGAGATGAGAGGGAAATGTATGCAGCAACTCAAGAGAATAAAGTGATAGACACTGAAACAATATTGTGACTTCAATCATCTATGTCTTTGAACACAGTGTTACAATAAAGCAGCCCTGAAATTTAACTGGAGTTATTTCATTGAACAAAAGTTATGACATCTGAAAGGAAAGTTCCATAACTAAAATGGGTAACCTATTGGAATATACCTGTTCGTAAAAAGAATTATCAGAAGTACTTTCTTTTTATTTTCCTATTAGATGCTGTGGTTTGGACTGCTGTTCATTCTTCTGAAGACGTATATGTTCTGTAAGTACTGACAAGAACTGACAAGTAGATACTTCTGGGGACAGTGATGCTTTTCCATCTTTATTTGCTTCCTCCTGTTGGTAAACCTTTAGGTTCCAACAGAAAAGCAAGTGTTAATGGGGATGTGGGGGAACTGGAATCCTTGTGAACTGTTGGTGAAAATGTAAAATGATGTAACCACAATGGGAAAATAGTATAAAGCTTCCTCAAAAATTTTAAAATAGAATTGCCAAATGATTCAGCAATTCGTGTTGGGTATTTATCCAAAAAAAACTGAAATTAGGGTTGCAAAGAAGTATTTGCACTCTTGTGCTCCTTGCATAATTATTCACAATAGCTAAGAGGTAGAAACAGTGTAAACTTTTATAGATGGAAAAATGGCTGGGGAAAATGTAATATTATTTTACATAAAAAAGGAAAATCTGTCATAGGCTACAGCTCGGGTGAACCTTGAGGATATTTCCTTAAGTAAAATAAAGATGGTCACATAAGGACAAATACTACATGGTGCCCGTTGTGTGCAGTGTCTATCGGAGTCAAGTCCATAGAAACAAAAAACAGGACGGCGGTTGCTAGGGGAGTGATCAGGGAGTTGCAGACCATCAGTCACGGAGGATGAAAAACTTCTACAAATTACTGTGAAACACTGTGTATGGAGGTAACAATACAGAATTAAGAGGGGAGATATCATATTGTGTGGTTTTTATCACACTAAAAAGAAAAATAAAGAACGATCGATATAAAGTACCACATTAAATATAAATATGTACAAGAATCTTCCCCCAGTTGAACGGACAAGGCTTCATGGAACTACAACACATACTGATTCTGAAGATACTGATAACAGTCACCACTGAGCGCTCACTATCGGTCAGGCATTGTGCTGAGTGTTTCACAAACTTTAGGCCATTTATTCTTTCCCCAAAAACTATGAGGTAATCATTATTAACATCATTTTTAAATATAAGAAAACAGAGACATAGCAAAATTGATTAACTTTTCCATAGTCATTCATCTGGTAAAATCTGACACAAGATCTGCCTGACCTCCCAGTTCACCGTATCACACAGCGGCACCTCGGTTCACAAAATCAACTCTCTCCACAATTCTGGTCAAAACTGAACTAGATGAGAACCAAATCAAATCTCCCTAGAAAATCAACCCTGAACCTAACCACTGAATTTGATTCCGTTCTCAACCAACTCGGTTTGCAACCAGAATCATGAAAAGAATCAAGTTCGTGAACCAAAGTACCACTGGTACTGTCTCTACCATTATGACTCCGCTCTCAAGATTAACAAAAACTGAACTCGCTGAAATAAAGCCATCATTTTACAACATAAGGGACAAAAAGAAATGCTGAAATGCAATACTGGAAACACTTGAGATCTACTTAGTCTCCCAAATTATCACTGCTGTCATTAAGGTACTTGCAAGATAATTTTCACTTCTGCAATTTGAAGGCTGTTGTGTTTTCTAGACTGAATCACCTATGATAACACGGAGCAGGCTACTGAAATTCTATTCATTTCTTAGCCCCTCTTTAGCAGTACTCATTCCAAGTGAATGAGACTGAGTAACATGGTATATAATCTGCTAAGAGTAGAGAACAACTTGCTAGCACAAAATGTCCTCTAAATATCCTATTGAAATAAAGACGGCTTATTACTCAGTGATTTTATCAACATATACAATAATTAATTGAGATTAATAATGAAGTTAAAAGCCACCAGTTATAAAATATGAAAAAAAAGTTTAAGAAATAAATTGAAAACTATATACAACTAGAATGCTCTAAAAATAAATTCTCAATACCTTCCCCACCCACCCACACACATACTCTTTATGGTACTACTAGTAGATTATATGATTTTTTGACTCCTACATTTCAAACTGCATTGAACTCTAAGGGGATTAAAAAGAAAATCATTTAATTCTACAATACTTATGTACAGTTTTCCCCCACTTAAATTAAATGGTTCACCTTGAATTTATCAAAACTCCCAGAGGAATATTTTCTTCTACCACATTACACTCATTTTTAACAGTAATTTTTACTGTAGCACGCACACACACACGCACATAAGATGCACACTTGCAACTATTTTATCAATAATGGAAATAAAAAATAGGCCCACAAACCAGGCCCTCAGCACATTACCAACATGTTCCCTCAGGCTCATATGACTTTTCAAAGCAAATTTTACATGTAACATTCATGTTAAATATTTAGTATATTTTCCAAAAACTATGCATCAAAAATGAATTCTCTTCAGAGTTGTTAGCACATAACTCGAAGACTGCACAAATGTAATACAGATTTTAGATATGTGTGTATATATGACTGATTCTTGTATCTCCAAGGCCCCCCCACAGATAGAACAGTCTAGTTGGTACCGACTTTTGAAAACTGACACAAGATTAGGCAGTCCTGGGGCCTTCACAAACTTAGCAGTCATTAAAGGGAACACAAAAATGGGAATTCAATACAATAATTCAGAAGTAGTAAAAGAGAACAGCAGACCATCAAGTTGAAAGGAGGAAGGATGACAAAAGTAAGCAGAAGAAACTGGATAAGGTATAAGCAGATTATTTTTTTAGAGATGATTCTGATACTAATTCTTCAAACTAAGCACCTGCGAACAAACTGCTATTAAATGCTGGCATGCTTTCTGATAAACAGATAAGTATTATATGAAATGAAACAATGTA